CATTTAGATGTATTTACACACTGTTTAATGCAGCTCTGAGGGACATTGAATACTTTAACCTGCAGTTACAAATGCATAATTTTTTTTTTTATATTTTAAACATAAAACATTGAAAACTGATGTTTGAAATTATTTAAAAAATGAAAAGGTAACTTAAATGTGAAATTAAAACTGCCAGTAGGTGGCAGCAAATCACTGTTAAGTGAGTCATTTAAACGGTTGACGGTCGTGTTGCTCAGAGACGCAAAACAGTGCTGTGGCTGTGTTTGAAATGATTTTTGTTGGAGAAATAGAGCAAAGGCAGGAAATATGGTGTCTAAAACGTAAGTCTCTTAATATTAACTTCTTGTTTATTGAACTGTTGTAAGAAATCAGTATCACATTTGTAATCATGCTGACTTTTGGAGAAAAACGGCACTCTTTGTGTGATATTAACTATATGAAATGATATAAATATATACATTTTCTGCCCCATCTTGAACTATGTGATAATTCTAAATGCATTTTAATAGACTGATTAATGCAGTGAAAGAACGCACTATAAATGTGCACGCGCACTAGTCTAACCTGCTAGACTTCATCATCTAATGTATGCGTGCATTCTATAGGTGTTTTGTTTGCTTTTCACGATATACTCGATAATATCAAATCGCACATCCTTAAAACAACAATTACGACATTATCGCAGACCATACATATCGCACACCTCTATACTGTTTAGATTTTTATAATGCATTGTTTTCTTATCGATCTACCAGTTCACATTTAAAGCTCTGCGTGTTTGCAGGGTAAAAACATGGGTCGATTTTCGCATTTGTCTGAACTTTGTGGCATGTGCACACCTTTTTGCATTTTTGATGTTAAATGGATGGTCCACCCAAAAATGAAAACTGTCATCACTTCCTTAGCCTTAATGTCATTCTAAACCTGTATGATTGACTTTTCTTCTGCTAAACACAAGAAGAGTGTTGGTAACTAAACCGTTTTCATTCTCTTTGCTTTCGATGGAACAACATGATGCCGAGTAAATGACAGAATTATCATTTTGGGTACACCATCTCTTTAAATATGTATTGTTTAACAATACAAACCACAATATTTCTAAAAAAAATTCATAATATGATCTTTGGATCAAATCATGCAGTTGTAGTCCTAATTCCAACCCTAAAATCGTATTGGTTGAGAGGCATTTTGTTAAAAGGCCAATAAGGATGTAGATCCAAGAATATGTTTTACTTGGTAAAATCACGGTTACCAGCTCCAGCTACCACTCTCTTCCTATAATGTGCTCTAAGAACGTGTTACTTAATGCAGTCAATGTGAATCTCACCTTCTCTAGAACCGCATGTGTACGTAAGTGCGAACCAATGCTCTTTTTTCCACGGTTCCCCCTCTTCACAGCATGTTGAATGTGGAGAGTGTGTGTGAATCTGACTCATCTCCTTTTGTAAAAAACAAACACACACAAACGTACACCCACGCACACCTCAGTGTCCATCTCGCCCTATGGTGTGGCGAAGACAGGCATGCGGGTCCAAAACTGTCAACATGAGTAAGGCTATAGGAATCCATTACTCAATAATTCAGCACAGAGAGCTGAAAGTGTCTGGGTGAGACTGGGCATTCACACGGCAGGCTGGGGGGAAAAAACAGCCTTGCATGGGCATGAACAGAGAGGCAACAGACAGCAACTTGTGCAGATGAGAGAATGAGTGAGAGGCTGCCCAGTAGCTGGGTAGATAGCGACAGATGAAAACAGGAGGCGAGGGGAGGCTTTTTTAGATGCCTAAGCCCGGACAGTGGGTGATGTGAGGGCTAGATGGGTGGGACACTAAGTAGATGCGGGCTACAGGGCCGCCACACATGAGTCCACGCTGATAAAAGCAGCAGTATCTGGTGGAAGCCCTTAAAAAAGGCAGCTGAATGCCCTCCCCCTCCATCAGAGTCAAACACGAGTGTCAGACAGCGAGATGAGAGCAATAAGGGTCTGGTAATGGAATGAAAACACTCCAAAACAAAACAAGGGCAGCTCTCTGAATGCAGGCCCTTTTCATGTGCGTGGTAGTGTCTGGGTGAAAAGACTGTGTGGGTTTGTGTGTTCTGGTTCAAGAGACAGGCTAGAAACCGGAGGGCCGATATATATCAAAGTGAACGAAGTTCAGATGCACTGCACCTTGCTGGTAGAATGGTCGGAGGTCTGTGCCCTTCTGTCCAATCAGATTGCAGAGGAGAGCCATGGCGTTCTGCATCGTGCTGCCGACTGTGTTATTCTGGTGCTCCTGAAAAAAACAAAAATAGTCTTATATTAAAATCTCAAAATATCTCAAATCAATATCGAAGGGGAAAAAAAAAGTTTGAAAGCACCACGTTCAAAGCTGTGTGTAAATTAGCGTTTATTGCTGTGACTAAGCATAATTTGAATTCTACACAGCCTGAATTGTTTATTAGTGGATCATACTGATGAGAAGTGTGTTTCATGTTTATAAACAAGTGGTTCTCAACCAGGGGCCGCGGGCCCACTAGGGAGCCTCGGCAAACTTCCAAGCGAGCCCCAGCAAGTCTTAATATTATTTAAATTTAGTTATATTAGCATAATCTTATTTTAAATGATAAAAGAACACTGAAAATAAAGATGTACTACATTAAAAAGACATCATTTTTACATTTGTTTATTTTATTACAACAGAGAGGTACATCAGCTTAGATAGGAGGGCCTTTGAATCTAGTCTCAGACAAACAGGTTGAGAACCACTGTTCTAAACGATCAGGCTGGGTTAATGACAAATCAAGCAAAACATTTAATTAGAAGGAGAGATCATATAGTGACCATAATGACATATAGACTTGGGGGCAGCACTGACTTTAAAGGGATAGTTTACCCAAAAATTAAAATTCTGTCATTAAGTTCAAGTTCAAATTACTCACCCTCATATTGTTCCAAACCCGTAAGACCTCCGTTCATCTTCAGAACACAAATTAAGATATTTTTGATGGAAACATGAGAGCTCTCTGACCCTCCCACTGACAGCAAGGATCCTTACACGATCAAGGTCCAGAAACATAGCAAGGAGATCGTTAAAATAATCCATGTGACATCAGGGGTTCAACTGTAATTAATGACAGAATTTTCATTTTTGGGTGAACTAACCATTTAATGCAGTACAAAGTAATTAGCGACTGTAAACTAATAACCTTTTAGTTAAAAAAAAGTTTAAAAAGTAGTGATTAATTTAACAGGGCAAATTAGTGTGAGAGCACTAGTGTGTAGCTGCAAAGTTATTTATAATCAGCAGAATGTCTAAAGTGGTCTATTACAGTACAGTGTTACCAAAATAATATTATTAACTATTTGGTAACACTTTATTTTGATGGTCGCTTTTGAACATTCTGCTGACAATAAGTAACGTTGCACCTACATGTCTACTAACTCTCATTAGAGTATTAGTAGACTGTCTGATTAATATCTGCTAACTCTTTTCTGAGATGGTGTCCCAACAGACATCCTTTGCAAAACTACAAAAACAACTTATTCTAACCCTAGTCCTACCAGTCTACTAATACTCTACCAACACTCTATTGAGAGCTAGTAGATATGTAGGTGCAACGTTACTTATAGTCAACAGAATGTGTTAAAGGGACCATCAAAATAAAGTGTAACCAACTATTTTGTAAAGAAAATAAGCCACTCATGGCTGTGCAGTACATTGATTTCATTAGGTAGTAATTTTGGCATTTTACTCCATGTTGTGCCAAATAACTCCCCTTAACCACAGTATTATCACTGAAACACGAGTTTTTGTTGCTTATAGCTGTAATCCAACGCAGTAAATCACTTCCAGTAAGGAAAAAACTGCCTGCTATAAAACCGACAACAGCAAAAAGTCTAGATCATCAATTCCACTTTTGTGTAGCGTCTACTATTTTCAAAAGTGGAGAGTGAACCTAACTAGAGAGGGCAGAGGTGCTGTCAGATAGAGAGAGCCAAGCCTCTGCCCTTCTCATCTCTCCCCCAGGGCAGACACCCGAGGCTGGGTGAGGCCAACAGGGGAAGCTGGGTAAGACCGGAGGTGTCGGGACGGTGTTGTCTGGCTCTTTCGACTCTAGGGTCAAAGACACTGTCTAATCCTGCAGCGAGCTCAGGTCCAGGGGCCGATTAAAAACATGATAAACAGACAAAGAAGAGCAGAAAGAAGGCAGAAGAAGGAGGGAAAAAAATCGATGGGGGTTTTAATTAGAGGTCTGAGTGAGGCTTGGGAGAGAAAGAGAGATAAAGAGGAAGAGAGAGGGGTCTGGCCAACTCTACTGGCTGACAGACAGATAGAGAAGGGTATGTCTGTCTCAGGGGAATCTCTGAGCCCCTCCACAGGCTGTGCAATAATTTTCAAGGCCTGGAATCATTACTTTTTCCGCTTTATTTCCGCACGGAGCCTCGGGAGAGGTGGAGTGGAGGGGTCATGCATTCATCAGGAACCTTCAGTCCATATATAAATATAGCACGCACACATACAAACTGCAGGAGAGACAATGAGGAAGCATTTAATATTGGGTCAGTGCTGAAAATAGCTTGTTTAACAAAACCAGCATTGATGTCACAGAGTTAAGTGAAACAATCATCCTTAACTTCTAACTACACAAGGTAGAATTGGATGTTTTACCACTGATTTTACACGCCATCATTGTAAGGAGGTCTGTAATAATTGCAGAAAGATAACAATTAAGGCCCCTATACACTAAGCGAAATTGAAGCAAGAATTTATGTGACCTCTTTTTGAACAAAAAAAGGTCAAAACGAGGGAGGAACTTTAGTTGCTTGTTTAGAGAGTTCGAAAAAACTTGCCAAAGCAAACTTTCGAGAAATTTCACTTTTGCATGCTGGTAAGCAACTTTAAACTAAAATTAGTCTTTGTTGACATGGAAATCTTCTCAGGTTCATTTCTTCTGTTCAGTCTGTCAAGGTCAGACATCAGTAAAAAAAATGAACACACTGGAAATCTGCTTTATAGTAGAAATTGAAGTTGTAATTCTAATTGAAAGTGACACTTTTAATGTGTAATACTTCAAAAGCAGTCTATTGTATATAAATAAACATGATGTGACTTGACTTGAGTGCCAAATTGGAGATCTGGTGCAAACATATGCACATCGCTATGATCAGATGCTTTCTTAACCGTTTTATCAACACTGACATTTCTGTTGTGTGTTAAATATGCGCGCAGCACATATTTACATATTCATCTAAACGCCGCTCTCAATGGGGTGGGCGTTGTTGATATGTTCTGGAGCAGTATATTGCTGCTCGGGTAAAAAAAAACGAAAAAAACATAGCAATAAACTTTTTTTTTTACCCCAAAGCAAAGAACAAAAAAGGATTTTGTCATGACTATACAGGGGCCTTTACCATTCACTCACATCTCAATGGTAGTTGGTCAGCTGGAGTCAAGGGTGCTCAGTTCTGCAGTCCGAATATTATGAACCAATCACCTGAGCTGTGAATGTCATATGACTAATGACTTTGGAAGTGCAGAAAAATGACTGATCTAGCAACTCGACTATCCTGATGTGACTAATTTTAGGGATATAGGGATCTAGGGATTTGTTTGAGTACGTTGTTCATTTTTTAAAAATTGTAATTTAATTTGAAATTTTTTTCTTTAATCAAAAACATTTCAATCAACATCCTAAACGACATCCTCTCCCTTACAAAAACTTTTCTTCTCTAATGACGTGTACTGACATGAGGGCAAGACAACAATCCCTAGCAATTGGCAAATGACAACAATCCAATCAAATCCCAATGGACAAAATCGACTATCACACTTAATTTTTTCCCTAAAACTGTAAAACTGATTGTGTAGATCGTGAAGTCATAGAGATTTGAAACTTGGAAGGATGGTAGTACTCACACCGCCTACAACGTGTCCAAGGCTCGCCCCAATCGGCCTGACGGGGACGCTACAGCGATCAAAAGTACAAATTAATTTATAACTCCTAAACCGTCACTCGCAGGCTCAAGTGTCTTATATCGTTGGAATCCTTGGCTCATGCCGGACAAAACAACATGCCTCAGATTTGCTTGTGAGCCTGGCGAAATTTTCAGGTATTTCGCATTTTTGAAAAACCTACTTTTGCGAACTAGTCTTAGGTTTTTAGCCCGATCGGAACCAAACCAGTGCAGAAAGATTCTCTGGAGAGTGAATATCAATAATTATCAAAAAAAGTTGAACTTTCGACTAAGGGTGAAAATCTTTAGGCACTTCACGAACTGATCTGATTCCGATTCTGGGAGTCACTATCCAATTCCAAAATGAATTCTTCTCCTGTGCAAATACATCTTTACAACTTTACATTTTAACCAAAATTGCAGTTTCTATGCTTTTTTGTTTATAGTTGGAATCTCTGTAAGTCAGTACTGCCATCTTAAAAATAGGGGTGTGAATCTTCATTGGTTTCACGATTCAATTCAATTATGATTATCATGTAAACGATTCGATTTAACTCAATATCACGATACATCACATTCTCAATTTTCAATATTACTGCACATGGCTATATTTTCATATACATTTTATATCAAATTTATTTTGTGCAAGTTTTACTTTTTTTATTTTATTAAATTATAAGCAGGCTACTTTTTAAAATAATTACTTATTTAAAAATAAGTGTTATTTAAGTAGGCTATCCGAAAGTTTACAGACAATCATAGTTATGGGTTTTTCTTTTTTCCCTCAGCATTATTGCTGTTTGATAATTACTGATGAGATCACAGACAGTGGCAGCTTTAACAGGCTTGCATTTACACTGATTCACACTAATGCACATTTCTATTTCGATATATCAGATGTTTTGTCCGGTTCTGAAAACATAACTGACTGTGTTTACATCAATTTCGTATATAAAAGTGTTCGGAGATGCAAGTGCATTTAACCGCAGCTGCGATCGAGCTTCAGAACATCAAACACGAAGCACACGTGAAAGTCTGTCAGTACGTGAGTTTCGTTCATCATATACGTACTGCATTCCAAAAGGCATCAATGAAAGCATATCTAAAGTATAATACTGAAATAACGGCGGGTGGAAGCACACACTGTCAAGCAATGCGCACGTGTCTCACAGCGCATATTCTGTGCAATGAAGCCCGCCGCGTGCCATATGCGGGGAAAAACCATGCTCAGAATCAGTTCAGAAATTGTCAGAAAATTTGTCAGAGAATTTTCAAAAATTCAGAAACATTGAAGAGAGAATCGCAATGCATCGGAGAATCAATATCGCATTTTTCAAG